CGGGAAGTTCTTTGCTTTGAGGGTTTAGGGTTTAGGGTTTTAGGGTTTGGGGTTTAGGGTCCAGTTGGGGTTTAGGTTTTAGGGTTTGGGGTTTAGGTTTTAGGGTTTGGGGTTTGGGTTTGGGTTTAGGGTTTGGGGTTTAGGGTTTGGGGTTTTGGGTTTGGGGTTTGGGGTTTTGGGTTTGGGGTTTTGGGTTTAGACTTGTGGGTTTTGTGTTGAGGGTTTGGGACTTAGCGTTTGGGGTTTAGGGCTTGGGGGATGCCGAAAATAAGGGATAGGGATCACTTTGAGAAGCCTTTATCGTGGTGTCTGGGTTGTTCATTGGCTTGGGGCCTCAATTCAAGCACACCGGAATCGCAAGCACACTTTAACAATGAAGCCCCTTTTGGTGCCAAGAAGTGTCGTTGTGGGATCTGGACTAAAGTGAATCCCAGAACTTAGCGACAGCTTCAGCTTGGACCGGGCATCTTCGACGCAAAAGGTGCCGCAAACATGTCGGATAGTCCGGCCTCGCTGGCTCTTGGCGCCACTGTCTCGGTTGAGCTTTCTTTGTTTTTTTGTTTCAGGGCCTTTGTCGTCGCTTGCGCTCCAAAGCCCGCCGGGGGCAGGCTCAAACTCCCTTTACGGTTTAGCGTTTAGGGTTTAGGACTGGTTTAAGGCTTAGGGCGTTGAATGCTTTCGCATGGGTTTCTGTCCTCCTTCGTCCAACTTGGAAAGAGGATCTTGTAATGCTACACAAGCCAGGTACGCGACAAACGGACTAGCTACATTGCAGGGCATGGGTATGGTTTGAGGCTTATAAGCGAGAGGTCTGAAGAGCAAGCGGAACTTTCAACCCTAAAGCCCAAAGCTTCACCCCAACCCACCTAAACCCAAAGCCCAAAGCCCTAAGCCCCTAAATCCCTAACCGTACAAACCCTAAACCCCTAAACCCTAAACCCCTAAACAACTAAACCCCAAACCCTAAACTTGTCGGTTTGAAAACCAGCTCTCATCTCAGCCACGGGGCGGCTGCGGCATGGGTATCCCCAGTTGCTTCCTGACCAATGGAAAGCGAAGTGGCAGCTGAAGGGAGTTAGGCTCTTATGATAAACCCTAGTATAGATTGATGTTATACGGGGCCGGGTAAAAAAACGGAATCGGCACATCAACAATAGTCGCAGCAATGGTCAACATGACAACAGTCATAGCGCGATAACAAAACATGGGAAACATCAAAGATGAACCCAACGAAAATCAATCACGTGCAGAAATGCACTTATGTCAATGCCAGATGGGCGTCAACTATAGAATCACCAGAACATGATATATTCGTGCGGCTCAATCATGCCAGACTGCCACACTCATGTTATGCTCGTTTATGTAAAATATGGCTCAAACACAAACCATCAAACAACATCCATAATGTAGGGGCCATAATAATTAGAATGGGGTTTTGGGGCCAACTATACTATAACTATGATCAGAAACCCCCAACTACTGTAGGAAGTTATTGAGGCCCCTGTAACATACATAAGACCGAGATGAATGGTTGCCAGGTTGCAGGGCCGTCCGAGTCCAGTCGAAATCGCCCACGACCAAATCATCCTTGAGGCAGACCAGTTGCGGATCCCGAGCGGGACCATGGTTGAGAACAGCCCACAGCATGCCACATATAGTGTGTATATACATAAATAAATAATATATATATATATATATATATTTAGGTTAAAGATCTAGATATACATATATATATATATACACACACATATATATATATATATATATATACACATACGTGTGCATGTAAATATATATATACATATATATATATATATATATATATATTGACTGATTATGTGATCTATCATTATATACACATACTATAAAGGACCATCGTCGCCTAAACCATCTTTATTCATCTAGTGAGGTCTGAGTCAACAAGCTCTAAAGCTGTAGCCTGACACCCAACCGGGACGCATCCAGTCCAAATGCGGAAACGCTAAACCCTAAACCCTTTCATGAAGCTGGTCACACGGCCACGACGTGCCGCGACGCACAGCCAGCGTCTTTTGAAATTTGGTCGGTTTGGGGTTTAGGGTTTAGGGTATTTGGTTGAAGACCGCCCATGGCCGAATGTGTGGTGGACAGCTTGTTTTCTTTTCTTTTGCGGGGTTCGTGCTCTGAGCGGAGTTGAAGCACTGCTCCAGAGTACTGGGTTCACCACTGAAAGGTGTAGAATTCTAGAATCCTTGGGGGGGGCATGGCATTCTCAGAACACGCCAGAAAAAGGTCCCCAAGGCGCAACGGTTGAGCTTTCAGGGTTCACGGTTTAGTGATCAGGGTTTAGGGTGCACGGTTTAGGGCTCCATCATTACAAACGGAACCTCAAATCCTCAAACCACAACCTGAAATCATATCGGTCGAGGGTCTTTGGTCAGCGGAAGCGGCTCTGACAGCCTTGTTAGGGGAATCTAGCCGGGGGGAGGTAATATTTAGAATGGTGGTTTGGGGTGCGTGATATGAGAGGAATAAGAAGGGGGGCTTCCATACCAAACAAAGAAGCACACGCGCCGAGGGTTCTTCCCGTACTACCATCACGGTTCGTGGCGTTTACACCAAGCTGCCCACCCATTTTTTGAAGATGCCATAGAAACGGGTAGTTTAGTTGAGCGACTTGACAAAACATGACAATCACCCTCGTTCGATCAGCTCTGCGTGTAGGTCAACTCCTACGTGACACTCAGACTCATCGGTATGTCATGGATAAGCTTGAAATAACCACACAATCTTCTTCACGCTCATCAGTTAGCATTCATCCGTTCATAATCACCTTGACCTTAAGCAACATTATCGCGTTACCCCAAAGCCGAAAAGTCGTCACCGGCCAGGGCACATGCTCTCGGTCGTTCGCAACTCGACGGGCACTCCGCGGCCACGAAGTTCCACCACGAGCTCCTTGTAGTCCTCCATGCTTTGACCGATTTAGGGCTTCGGGCTTTATCTTAAGGCTTTAGGGCTTGGGATTCATTATGGAGTTGGGCCCCAAGCCCCCAACAAAACAACCCTCAACTCAAAAGCAAACAACAACAGCAACACATGCCTCGTTGTGGAAGCAAACCAGCCAGCAATCAAAAACCCGCTGCTTACGCCTGCATAATTTCGGGTTACTTGCTACTCGGAGCTTTGAAGGCACAAGGACCACAAGCAGTCCTCGGGAATCTCATCGAAGGTTTGCACGAACGCTCGCGCCGGAAACCGCGCTTCCATGTGCTCTCCACGGCGTGTGCTTGTGACAGGTGTAGATGCACCGCAAGGGAAATGCTTAATGTAGGGGCCTTGATATTTAGAATAGGGTTTTGGGCTCCTTTATTATACTAAGGGACCTAAGGAAAAATACAGGTAATTGTTCACGCTTCTACATTATGTAGGAACCCTGTTGCTGTCCGAAACTGTTAACAGCGATACCCTCGCAATGCAGAAGCTTAGCAACCGAAACATTTTTGAGCCGACAAGAAGGAACAAGGGACATGCTCGCGGATCCTGCTCCCTTCCACTGGGACTGCTACGGCGACTGTAACACATTTGGAGGCCTGGAGTCTATAGGGTGTTGGATCTCTTTGAGTCTTTGAGGGTTCCTTAGGGTTTAGGGTTTATTGTTTAGGGTTCGGGGTCTGCATCTAGGATCTTACCGCACACCTCCTGTGATTCGTGACACTGAGAGAAACGTGAAGGAGAAGCGGCTGCCTAAAACCTGCGCCCGCCTTGTCGTCCGTTCCGCGAATGACTTCCAACGTAACGAAAGCAAAGATACCTGCTTAGGGTTTTTTAAGGCTCAAGTCAACGGCTTGGGATTGGCTCGCTCTACTCTGGTCTCGTCTAGGGCAGACAGACAGACAGACAGACAGACAGACAGACAGACAGACAGACAGACAGACAGACAAACACAAGAAGCACGCACAAACAAACACACATACGTAGCTCTGAAATGAAACTCCGGATGTAGAGGGGGTTTACATGAGACTCGAAAACCGGAAAACATAGATTAATAGTAATGAAATTATATACAGATGTATGAACAAACAATATATGTGTGTATATATATATATATATAGAAGTTCATACGAATAAATAAATAAATAAATGAATAAATAAATATATATATATATATATATATATGTGTGTGTGTGTGTATAAACATCATGATATGGATATATATATATATATACATATATATATATATATACTGTTGAATCTAAATTCAAGTGTGTGTATATATATATATATACAAACGGACTATGAGGGGATATTGCGACTAATTAGTTGGACCCATACGTTGCTGGATCTCAGCAGGGCCTTTCAAAGCCTTCATGGACCCACGCTGAAGGCTCCGAGCAATGTAAAGCGGCTACATGGATCAGGCTTCTAGGGCCCCATCGCGAGCGACATCTGGGCCTTTAAACCCCAAAGCACTGAACCCTAAACTCATCAACCCTAAACCCAGAACCCTAACCACTGAACCCACCACCTCCCAGGCAGCGCCTGAAACAAACACCCTCCACCCGAAATGCAGACAACCAGCCTGAGATGCTGAAGAAACGCATCAAGTAGTCCTCGAGGCTCAAGGTTTACGGCAGCTTGTGCTGGTGAAGGTAGTGGTGCAGCAATTAGTGGCAGCAATATTGATTAGTCAGTGACAAGGAACTGCAGCAGCGTGCGGTTGCTGCAGCTACTTCTCCTCCTAGTACGGAAACTAACACGGTGGCAGCCTGGGCAGCTGGACCTTCTAAAGACACTGCTCTCAATTGGGGTTTAGGGTTTAGGGTTTAGGGTTAATGCCTTGTCTTCCAGGCCTTTAGTTGCTAGTGCTGTCTCGCTGTTTGCCGGGGACACTATCGATGCTGCGTCGGGTCACCCTTCGGGCTTCGTGGATTTGGACTTCAGCTGCAGATTGGTCAAACGAACTTCTGCCGAGGCACCTCAAAGAAATACCATGTCACCACCGCTTCCATGGCTAACAGCACGACGACCTTCGCTGGCACTGAACATCAAAAACAAACAGTGGTCAGAAACAGACAGCATCCATGTTGTACAGTCGCGGATATGAAGCACGGCTGGTGGCTTACTTCTTTGTTCTGGTGATTCTCGCCAGTTCGAAGCCCAGGAGGAGAAAGCTGTGAAAGCAAAACAAGATTCAATCTGCCTCTACATATCTAAGGGTCCGCAAAAGCTCCAGGCAAGAAGACGCCAAATCCCTAAACCCGCAAACCTTTAAGCCTAAACTCTTAAACCGCAACCCTGGACAACCCCAAGCCCTGGATGATCCCTGGGCTACTACTGCAAATATGCGAGACGAGGTTGCCTCCTGGCCTTATATGAAAGATCATACACACATAGGCATGATCTGCCTGGTTGTGCACTTCTGTATATACGTACATGCATGTGTATGTGTCATGTCTATACATACAAAAAGCGGCAACTTTTTCAACATCAATCAGCCCGTCCAGCCATCCATATACCAATCTATCCATGCAGCCAGCCATCCATCCGTCCACCCATCCGTCTGCCGTCCGTCCGTCCATGCGTGCGTTCGTCCATTTATCCGAAGGCTCGCATGCATATACACCAATGTGTACCCCTACATATCTCGGCCTCACAAAATGCTAATTTGCATATATAGATATGTACATGTATGTATAGCAAAATAAATGCTACACCCCTAACTTACAACTAGACCCTAAGCCCTAAACTACAAGACCTATATATAAGCGCTATAGTACAATGGGTGGCCGCAGTAAAGAACTCTGTAGAGTAGGACCATTATTATTATAAGGATATCGAAATCTCCAAATAAGGTAACCCTATTCTGACTCTGAAGTCCCTAAAGTAAGCGCTAATTGAGCCTGTATAGTTAGTCCCTATGGCAAGCGCCTTAAAGTATAAACCTTAAATGTGACCCTACATGTTGAACTATAGAGCCCTATAGCGTGCCCTGCAGAGAACTCCAGGAAGTTGTGACATGTCTTGAGGATGACTGACGCAAGGATTACCTATACTTTACCTTAGCGGCATCGAGATGATGATGCTCCAAGTGCTTGGCTTCTGCTGTAATGGAAAGTTCTAAGCAAGACTTTTTGGAGCCCTAAATCTAAGCCCTCATCTAGAAGACGTGAAAACCCTAAACCCTAAACCCCGAAAGCTGAAAACACTAAACCCTGAAAGCCCTAAACCCTAAACCCTAACCCTGAACCCCTAAACTCTGAAAGCCGTAAACCATTCGGAAGCCCTGAACCGATCTGAACGCATTGACGATAGCCGGGCCACCAAGGCTTTGGACCAGGTCTGACGGCGTGGAGTTAAGGCTTTCTATAAGGCTTTCTATAGGGCTTTATGGCTTATAGGGTTTTGGGTTTAAGGCTTAGGGTTTAGGGTTTAGCCCTCTCTAGCGTCGAAGGTTGTGAAAGATTTTTCACGGGCCTGCCAGACGTTTATAGGTTTTTGAGATTGCTGCCGGGCCTTGAAAGGTACTCGATGTTTTGGATGTTTATAGGCGTCTTTGATCCGGCCCTCGGACGTTAGGACATTTCGTTGGAAGGGTTTGGAATTAAGGCTTCGGTGATGTGGGAGGATTAGGCAAACCGATTGGCCGTTCTGTTCTGTTTCGGGCCTGTGGTTTCGGGCGTTCAGAAGCTCAGGGTATACAGGCATCCTCTGCCCAGGGTGTTTTTGAGTTTCACGATTTTAGGGTATGACCGGAATGCTCACTCTGCAAATCTGCGCTTTGGGTTGGTAGCAAGACTTGGCCTCTGCCCGTCTGTTGCTGGAAGAGTGACACAGTTCCTGGATGCATTTTCTTTATAGGGCCCCGAAAATGCACATAAGCGAAGCATTGGACAGGGATATGTCAGAAGCCGAACGCCCTTGAACAACACGACCTGTTGATGCTTGAGGCTTAGAGTTTTGGGTTTCGGGGTTTAGGGTCGCACATAGGGGCATGCATTAACAATTGGACTAGGGTTTGGGGGTATATTCTGGTATAGGCATGATAAGGAGCCGTAAGGAGTGATTAGCAATACGTGTAATTATTCTGGCTTCTGTAGTTATGTGGGTAGTTCTCTAAATTAGTGTCCCTTTTTAGGTCCCCAATATAGTGCGGCACCGCTATAGAAAGGACCCCAAAAGGGACCGTAATTTAGAGAACTGCCCATGTATTCTTTTGGTTCCCGGTCGACTTGAGCAAGCATCTAAGGCCCCAAGGAATCGTGGAGTGCCTGGAGTTAGGGTTTATAGGTTTATAGGGTTTAGGGTACCTGGGACTCTAATTCTCTCTAATTACCTACAGTTTTATGGGTTACTAATCAAAGGGTAATGGCTGCTAAACTGCAGGTAAAGAGAGTTACAGGAAATGAGTTTTTTTTTTTAGGATTTCCCCAAACCCTAACCAATGCTAAAACGTTGCAGCCGGACCTTGCCAATCAGGGTGGACGTTGTGCGCCGGTTGCAGGCGGCATCCGGATCGAAGTCCAGGAACTCGGTCCTTTGGCTTCCGACCAAAGTTGGGGTTTAGCCTTCGGGGTTTAGGGTGTAGGGCTTAGGGTTTACCTCTAACCGAAAAGACGTACCCTTTCAGGGTTCCTTATCATGCGAAACCCTTTTAACCCTCAGCCCTGAACCCTAAACCCTGAGCCTTTGAGCCCTATATACGCCTCCTATAAGCACCTGAGAGCTTTGCCTCTCCGCTAAGCTCTGGCTCCTCCATGTGATGAAAGTCCTGTTCGAAGCAGAAGTGACCGGTTTTGGGGTTAAGGTTTAGAGTTTAGGGGTTTAGGGTTTAGAGTTTAGGGGTTTAGGGTTTAGAGTTTAGGGGTTTGGGGTTTAGAGTTTAGGGGTTTAGGGTTCGGGGTTTAGGGTTTACCCGGAGGATCCATGTCAATCCTCCAAGGTCCGGCATAGGACATTATGCTTAGGGGCCTTTATCAGGATAGAGTTCCGGCGTATATTCTAGTAAACTGATAATGAAGACAGGGCGTCGTGGTATGTTGTAATGCATTTCTGATTTCCCTAAACCCTAAGCCCAATGCCCTAAACCCTAAACCGCTGGACCCCAAGGAATGATCTCCGCAAAAACTTCCGGCTTCCAGCCGACTCGCGACGGTCTTGCATGAGTCGTCTGGGTGAATTGCCAGTGTGTTAATGAGATTGAAGTTTAGGGGTTGAGTTAGGGTGTACGGATGTTCTACGTCTAGACACCTCTTGAAGAAGCGGGCCTG